ACACAGGTACCCAGTGCTGGTGTCCTGATGCCAGAGCCCTGTGCCTGGTGCTGCTGCCTTGTACCACTGCCCCGTGCCCGCTGTGCAGTGCCTGCTGCCTGGAGAGTGATGCCAGAGCCAGTGCCTGACCCAGTGCCTGGTACAGTGCCCGGTGCCAGGGTTGGGTGCCGATGCCAGTGCCCAGGACCAGTGCCCGGGATTGATGCCGGTGCTCGGTGCCAAGGCTGGATGCTGATTCCCAGGTGCTGATGCCCAGTGCTGGTACCCAGTGCCTGATGCCACTGCCTGGTGTCCAGTGCCCGCTCCTGGTGCCGCGTTCCCAGTGGCCGATGCCGGTGCCCGTGCCCGGTGTACCGTCCTTGGCCCCGGTGCCCGGTGCCAGGCGCTGTTTCCGATGCCGGTGCTGATGCCGGTGCCCGATGCCTGACGCCGTAGCCGGACGCCGGTGCCGGTGCCCGGTGCCGCTGCCGGTGATGCCGAGCGGCCGCCCCCTCCCGCCCCCGGCCCGCTCCCGCCCCGGGGCCGCCCCGCCCCCGCCGCTGCTATTTCTGCTAATCCGCGGCGGGGCCCGGCCGTGCCCATCGGCAGCCGCCGCTCCCGGACGGCGCCCGGCGCCGCAGCCATGGTAAGGCCGGCGGGGAGGGGGGACACCGGGCCAGGCTGCTCCGCTCCGCACCGTGGCACGGGCTCGTTCCCGCAGCGCGGGCCCGCTCCGGTGCCCTCCGTGAAGGTGACGGTGCGCGGGGGCGGAGCGGACCCGGGGCCGCCGGTGCCGCAGCGGAGCGCGGGGGGGACACAGGCACTGGGGCAGCACCTGCCCGGGCCCCGCGGGGGAGGCGGGGGGCGGCCGCGGGCCCCTCAGCTTGGCATGGGGGCGGGCAGCGCTCGGGAGCGTCACCTGCGTGTCCCCGCGTCCTGCCTCCCCCCGCCGCGTCCGTGCGTGGGCAGAGGGGCTGCTCTCGCTTGGCTGCGTGCCGATCATCGCTCCCCAGCGCGGCTCTGGGCAGGTCCGCGGGTTGCGGCGCTGGTGGCACTGCCAGTCTGGCCGGGCCCTCGGCGGGGACTGTCACACGCATGGAGCCGGCTCTGCACTCACCGGCAAGGTCCGGAGCCGCCACTGGCATTACCGGCTCGCGGGAGCTTGTCCTGCATCCCTCGTCCTGCCTCCCCGCTCCGCGGAGGTCCCCAGGAGCCGCTCGGCAGGGCCACGTCCCCGCGGGGACCTCCGGCCGCTCGCCGTGCCCAGGGTGGGGATGGGGCCGGCGGGCTGTGGCCGTGGCTCGCGTGGCACCGGGGTGGTGGCCGCTGGGACAAGTGCCCTTGGTGGGAAGCGCTGCGGCCGCCCTTCCCCTGCAGCGCCGTGGGAACCAGCCCGGCACATTCCTCGGGGGCTGGACGCAGTGGAAGCAGGGAGGAAGGAGAGCGGCTGGCGGAGCGTGTCGCAACGAGCGCCTTCCCGACAGGCTCCAAACTGTGGCTTCGGGATGCACAGAGCCAGGCTCGGGAACATCTGTGCGGGGGACGGCGGTAGCGGCTGGGTACCGGCAGGGAGCTGCGCTCCTTCCTCCCCGCACGTGGGGCTGGAGGTGGTCCAGAAGGACCCCCGGAGGTGAAGCAGGTGCCCCCCGACACCGGTGCCACATCCCTCTGTCCCCAGAGCAGTTCACGGCTCGGCTGGAGAAACGGGATGAGCAGTGGTCCCTCCCGACCTCTGCTCCCTGCTCTGAGTGGCCTGGGTCTTGTCCATCCTCACGTGCTGAGATGTCACCTTGTTCCCATCCTGGACAGCCCCCGCTGTCACTTCCCGGGTCGTGGGAGCCACCGCACATAGTTCCATCCCAGGGTGCCCATGCAGGTCCTTCCAGCTGGAGGATTCCCTGCAGGAATGGGCTGGAGCTGCTGCACCAAGGGATGTGGCTCTTGTCCCACCTGCTTGGTGACCAAGCACCCGGGGTGCTGCCTGCCCCTCACCCACAGGGTGCCCAGCACCCTGCTCCTCTGGGAGCTGTTGGGAGACTGTTTCCCTATGGGATGCTGCTGATGGGTGGGAGGGGAGAGCTCCGGTTCCCTGGTGGGACCATCCCGTGCACACAGAGCAGACCTGTCCTGGAGGAGAGCCAGGCTGGTCCTGGCAATGCTGGCTTTGGTGGGGGCCACCGTGTTCCTGTCCCGTGTTGGGTTCTTGCTTTGGGGTCGGCCTTTGTGCCCGGGGTGCGGAGCCTTGGTGACACAGTGGAGCAGCACGTGCTGTGCTCTGGGTGGCACATCTGGGTGTCACCTTTCCGCGGACCGGGGACACCTCGGCCAGCCTGGCTGTGCGGGCAGCGCCTCGCCGCGGTGTTCCCTCCCTCCCCCTGCAGAAACAGGCTGGGGAGACACATCCCGTGGGAATGTGGTGCCCGGCAGGAAGCCGCTAAGGGGCAGCCGGGCTTTTCTAGCTCGGGCTGTGCCCGCTGTCCCCACGTCCCCCCTCTGCCTCAGCCCGCGGGCTGTCACTGTCGCCGTGCGGGGCTGGCGCGATGCGGAGTGACAGGCGGGGGGGAGGCAGCTCGTGTGCCACCTCGCCGGGGCTGTGACAGCCCGGGTGTGAGGCCGCCTTGCACTCAGCCGGGTGTGTAATCTGCTTACGGGGGCATCGGCGCAGCCCCGGGCTCTCGCTGCCGTAAATCCCTGCTCCTGCCGGGAGTGCGGGTTGGGACGCTTGGAAAGCGGCCGAGAGCCCCTGGATCGCGCCTGAGCGGCTCTGATGCATCCCGACAATGCATCAAGGTGAATCAGCGTCCCTGGTGACCCCGGAGTGACAGCTGGGGAACCCTGGCTGACACCCACGGCTCGTCCTGGGGCACTGTTAACCCTCCGCCTCCCAGGGATGAGCCGGGAAAGCCGAGGCAGGAAGGCTGGAGCCTGGGAACCCTGCGGTTGGCAGCGTCCCTGCTTCTCCCAGTGCAGGGCTGGGTCCTTCCCAGGCAGGCCCATCTCGAGCAGGAACTTGGAGCCGTGTGGGGATGTGGGGAAGCTCTAATTGTCAGGTGTAAAAGTGTGGAGTTTTAAAACAGGTTTTCATGGAAAACTGTGTTTCTTCCCTCAAAGAGACTGTGGAGCCCTCCCTGCCTTGTGTCTGTGGGGTGCTCCGGGCTGGGGAGTGGGAGTGCTGTGCAGCAGGATGGAGGGGGGTTTTGTCTCAGGATGGAGGGGGTTTTGTCCCAGAATGGAGAGGGTTTCTTTCCTGAGACAGAGGTGTTTCCGAGGACTGAGTGTCCTCATGGGCTGTAGCCAAGCTGTGTGTTCAGCCCAGAGGTGCTGGTGGTGATGATGGTGGTGGTCCTGCAGCCCCCCAGTACCTCCCTTGCCACCTTCTCGGCCAGCACTGCTTTTCTGGTCCTTGAAATCTCGGCAGCCGGGCAGGAGCTGGGCTTGTCTCTACCCCGGGGCTCCCTCTGCCCTCCTGTGCCCCCCACCCCCCGCAGGGGCCGTGCCTGGCCCCTGGGTGCCGTGGGCGCCCGGCGCGGAGCCTGCCCAGGGTGGAGTTATGCTAATGCTGCTCCCCATCCCTCGGCGCAGCCGGGGCCACTCGGCATCTGCTGCTGGCCACGGGCGACACCGGCTGTGCCATGGCCACCTGCCCCGAGCTGCAGCCTGGGCAAGAGGTACGGGGGCACCGACCGTCCCCAGCGGGGCGAGAGAGGGCACAGAGGGGATGGGGGAGCACCCCGATACTGCGGGAAGGTGCCACGGCCGATGCTCCGTCCCTGGAAAAGCCCTGCTGGGGGCCGCACTTGCTGCAGGACCCCCAGGGATGTGGTGCAAACCCCTCCGGTGCTGCAGCATGGCCGAGGCCACCGGCTTCGCTGGGGCTGGGGGGCGAGGGGGAGCCCCGAAGGGCTGGAGCACCGAGGGAAGGAGCGGCAGTGGCGCTGGGGGCACTCGGAGGTGGCGGAGGCATCGTCTCCCACATCCCGTGTGCCCCCGAGCGGGCCGTGCTGTGGTGGGGGGCTGAAGCTGAGCCCCCCAGGGCAAGGTCGGTGAGGAAGAGGACGTTGCGCTCTCACAGACCCCCCCGAGCACTCGGGACGCGCGGGGGGACAGGGGAACACAGGGGGTCCTGCAGCCCCCGCCAGGGGGGCACCTGCTGTCCCCCAGCCTGGCACCGTGTTCCCCCGTGCTGGGAGCAGCAGGAGAGGAGGTAGCAAGAGAGGGGGCAGCAGGAGCGAGGGGCAGCAAGAGCGAGGGGCAGCCGTGCGAGCGCTCAGCGCCGGCAGCGCCGTGACCTTGTTTCCAGCCCACTAATTCCGCGCATCCCGCCTCGCCGCCGGCACCGCTGCCCGCCCAGCGAGCGGGGACACGGCTGCGGGACGACACGTGTCCCCACGGAGGGCTCTCGCCTCGAGGCCCCCCGATCTGGGGAGGGGGCACTGACCCCCCCAGCTCGGAGCCTGCAGGGTCGAGGGCTCCCCCCGACGCGCTGTGCCCCCTGTTTGGGGGTCTCGCTGCCCGTGGGGTCGCCTGGCAGTTGCCATGGTAGGAGCTTGGGGACCTTGGTCCCGCGGGAGCTACTGCCGGACATGCCCTTGGGAACGCGTCTCCTCCCGGCAGTGCTCGTAAACAGGATGTGGAGACATCCCAAAGCCGGCGGCCCCGGCCCTCGTCCCCACCCGCCGCCCCACAGGGCCACCAGCCAGAGGGTCTCTGTGCCCGGCCCCCCCCAGCCCCTTCCTGGGGCCCGCTCCAGGATGGGTAGAGCCGGGGGGGGGTGGTGTGGGGGTCCTGGTGACATCTGTGGGCCGGGTCCCCTGCCCTGGCTGTCCGCTGGGACCGCAGGGACAGCAGTCCCTTGGGCCATCGCCCACGCTGAGACCCCACAAGTGGGCAGGTGGGAGGCACGGGCAGACCCTTGCCCACCATCTGCCTCCCCCGGCCCCAGCCCCACTCCAGCTCCCCCCCCCACACTGCTCTTAATCGCTTCTTGGTGTCTCTCCCTCCTCCCTGGTGCCCCCTCCCCACCCTCCCGGCAGGCCATGGGCTGTGTGGGGGTCCTGGCCACCCCGGAAGACCCCGAGGAGCGGCAGGGTGCCCGGGGGGATGGTGCCCATCCCCGTCCCCTGGAGTGCCAGGAGCTGGCTGCCGTCCCCACAACACAAGTTGTAAGAGCCCGGGGCGCACAGGGCCACGGCTGTCCCCACTGCCATCCCCATGGGTGTCCCCAGGGCTGTCCCCAGGGTGGTGGCTCGTCCCCTGGGGTGGCCGTGTCCCCCTCTCCTCCCCTGCCATCCTTAGGCTGCATGTGTCTGGCTGCTGCTGCTTGGGGGGTTTGTGCTGCTGAGGCGGGTGGTGCCACCTCGAGCTGGCACTGCCACCGTTAGTGTCACCTCCTCCCTTGTCCCGCAGATAAAGCGTTTCCTGAAGGAGGACTCGGACGAGGCTGAGCTGACCCAGTTCCTGCGCGATTGCCCTCCGGCCGACAGCCCCAGGAAGGTGGAGCCCCCGGAGGGCCGGCGGGAGCCCGGCCACCCCCTGGGCAGTGTGGGCAGGGGCCCCGCAGAGGAAGCCACGGACGAGAGGGACTCCAGGATCTTCTCCCGATCCCGGCCCCTGGATACCCCGCAGCACATCACAGCCCCCCGCCCCCAGCCCCAACCGCCCGCGGAGCCCCTGGGGGCAGCTGGACCCCTACGACTCCTCAGAGGTGCGGGGTGTGTCCGTGGGGGGACACGGGAGGACACACGGGGGGCGAGGAGCTCAGGAGTCACGGTGGAGGGTGTTCCCGTCCTGCAACCACAAAGGTTTAGGGCAGGAACGGCCTCATCCCGTGGCACTCCAAGCCTGGGGGGGGGCGGGAGGAAGGGGGTGTCCTGCCAGGATAAGGGGTGGGGTGATGGTATTCCCTGTCCCACACCCCCTCTGCCCGCAGGATGACAAGGAGTACGTGGGCTTTGCCACCCTGCCCAACCAGGTGCATCGCAAGTCGGTGAAGAAGGGCTTTGACTTCACCCTCATGGTGGCAGGTACGGGGGACCCAGCTGGGCTGGAGGGTGCTGAGCCCACTCTGGATCCCAAAACACCACGGGGCAGGGTGTGTGTGGGGGGGTACTGGCTGCACCCCTCACCCTTGTCCCCCTTTTCCAGGGGAATCCGGGCTGGGCAAGTCCACGCTGGTGAACAGCCTGTTCCTGACCGACATGTACAGGGACAGAAAGCTGCTGAACGCTGAAGGTGAGGGGGATGGGGGGGACAGTCACAGCCCACAGGGGGTGTCCTGATGACACATGGGGGTGGCAGAGCCCCACGATACCCCTGGGGGTCTGCAAGCCCTCTCCCTGCCCAACTGGGCTCCTCTGAAGGCACACGTGGCCCGTGTCCAGCCACCTGCTGGCCCTGGGGACAGCTCCAAGGCAGCAGGGACCCCCCTGCCCAGCATGGGGACCCCCCACAGCGGCTTTATCCCCACAGGGAAAACAAGCCCTGGCTTGTTGGGAATTGCAGCAAATCCAGGAGGCTGAGGGCAGTCAGGGTCTGGGGCCAGTTCAGCTACAGCCACTTTTTGAATTAAAACGGCCCCAACTTGCCCAAATCCCCAGGAGTTTGAGGGGTTTGTTTGATTTGTTTCCGCTGCTTGGAGTGAGAGCCAAAGAACACAGTGCAGCAGGAGCATCCTCAGGGATTCAGGGACGTGGAGGGGTGCTGGGGGTGAAGGGGCATGTGCAGCCTGGAGCTGTGGGGTCACACACAGGGGTGCAGGGGGCCCTTAATGCTCCCACACTGATGCCCACCCCCAGCAGACCCCTGTGCTGCCCGAGCTGGGGTCCTGGGGTGCGGGTGGCATGGGTGGACATCCATGGGGATCCACGGGGATGTGGGGACCGTGGCATGGAGCTGGTGTCAGGAGCGATCCAGCAAAGCCACCCCAGGTCCTGGGGAGGGGGTGACAGCTGTCCTGTCACCTCCATCATCTCGTGACCCCCCTGTTGAGGTGTCTCCTGCCACCCCAGAGCGCATCACGCAGACAGTGGAGATCACCAAGCACGTGGTGGACATCGAGGAGAAGGGGGTGAAGCTGCGCCTGACCATCGTGGACACGCCGGGCTTCGGTGACGCCGTCAACAACACCGAGTGGTGAGTCCCTGAGGGGGCTGCAAAGGAGTCCACGTTTTAAAATGTGTTTTACCTTGCATTAAGTTCTTTCCCACGTTATACACGCTATCCATGTAGGAATAGCTCACATCATTTGTGTGCATGACCCATATCAATTTTCACCCTTCACCCCAGGGGTGAAGCCAAGCCAAACTCCCAGCCAAGACAACACCAGATCCAGGCACAAGGAACAGACATGGAACATTCTAGGAATGAATTCACTAGTTCGGAGTAAAACCTACTCAATGTTAACTTATACATATAACTATCTACAAGTTAGTGTATATATATATATATACACATATATATGTACACATATATATTTGTATATACACACATATAACTTAACTTACATATATAATGTTAACTTATATGTATAACCCACTGGACCCCTCCTGGACAAGGGAATGTTCCAGTGCCTAATACCAATCCTCTAGGACATAACAGCAATTAATACTTGCTCTAATGGCACACAAGCAGTATCAGGTTATCTCTTAACTGTATTTCTCCCCTGCAATCGGCGGCCTGGAGTCAGTGAGGCCTCGCACCACCAGCTGCAGGACCAATTCTTTCCCCCTGCACCCAACAGGGTGGGCCCAGCACAGGGGGTGGGATGGGTGAGAGCTGGGGCTCCACAGAGAGCCCAGGAGCCCTACAGAGGACCCGATGTCACCCCGCTGTCCCCGCAGCTGGAAGCCCGTGGCCGATTACATCGACCAGCAGTTCGAGCAGTATTTCCGTGACGAAAGTGGCCTCAACCGGAAAAACATCCAGGACAACCGTGTCCACTGCTGCATCTACTTCATCTCGCCCTTCGGCCACGGGTAGGAGCAGTGCCGGGCGGGGGGGGGGCTGGGGAGGGGTTGTTGGGGCTCACCAGGCTCCCCCCCGCAGGCTCCGGCCCCTGGACGTGGAGTTCATGAGGGCGCTGCACCAGCGCGTGAACATCGTGCCGGTGCTGGCCAAGGCTGACACGCTGACCCCCGCCGAGGTGGAGCGCATGAAGAACAAGGTGAGGGGGGATGGGTCCAGCCTGGAGCCGTCCCAGCAGGTCCCTGGGCGTGGGGGCACCCTGGGGGTCCCCGCTTGGCTGGGGGCTCTGTCCATCTCCTGCCTGGATGTCTCCCTGGAGTGTTCTCCATGCAGGACCATGTTGACCCCACGGCCACCCAGGATCTCCCTGGGGCTGAACAGGGGGCTGGGAGGGTTTGAGGGCTGTCCATGACATCTATTCTGGGGGGAACAGGCTTTTGGGGGATACTGGGACTGAGTGGTGCCTCCCACCCCTTCCTGAGGGCCTGAGCCCTGCCCTGAGGGGGGTGTTTGCCTCCAGATCCGGGAGGAGATCGACCACTACGGCATCCGCATCTACCAGTTCCCCGAGTGCGACTCGGATGAGGATGAGGAGTTCAAGCTGCAGGACCAGGCGCTGAAGGTGGGTCTGGCTCCTGCAGCTCCACCCTTGGAGGGGCAGAGCCCCATGGCCGGGAGGACACATCACCCTGGGGTACCTGTAGGGCTTTTGGGGGCCACACAAGATCTGCAGGGGGGACATGTCCTCCTGGGGTACCTGTAGGAGATTTTGGGGCCACACAAGCTCTGCAGCAGCCCCAGTGTGGAGTGGCTGGTACATGTCATACTACACAGGCACATCACCAAGATCCCACAGGAAGATTGGTGGGATGGGGATGGGGTGGAGAAGCTCATGCCGTGGCCTCTGGCTCTCCACAGCTTGGGATATCTTGGCAAAGGGATGCTGGACACAGCAGAGGAGATGCCTGGGGAGGGATGTGGGGCATGGCAGGCAGGACTGAGCCCTGCTGACCCCCTGTTCTGAAAATTATTAGAAATGTCTCTGCCTGAATCAAGGTGCAAGCGAGCCCCAGACAGGCAGCTGCTTCTTTGCAGTTTGACAAAGAGCCTTTCTACGATTTTGACAACGTTTAAGACAGTGAACAACATTTCAGTCTCTCCCACACCCTCCTGCAGGAGAGCATCCCCTTCGCCGTCATCGGCAGCAACACGGTGGTGGAGGCCAAGGGCCGGCGCGTCCGCGGGCGCCTCTACCCCTGGGGCATCGTGGAAGGTAACGCTGGGCTGTCCCCAGTGTCCCCACGGCCCTCTGGGGACGGGGATGTCACCCTGTGACGGTGCTGCTGAGCCCCGGGGGGGCTCGGGGACGCCCTGACCTCGGGCTCCCCCGCAGTGGAGAACCCGTCCCACTGCGACTTCGTGAAGCTGCGGACGATGCTGGTGAGGACCCACATGCAGGACCTGAAGGACGTGACGAGGGAGACCCACTACGAGAACTACCGCACGCAGTGCATCCAGAGCATGACCCGCATGGTGGTGAAGGAGCGGAACCGCAAGTACGGGGCTGGCAGAGGCGGGGCCAGGCTGGGCAGGGACGCGGGGGCGAGGGGTGTCCTCTCCTCGGGGTGACCCCAGCCCACTGCCAGTGGTGGTCTCCGGGGCTTGGGGCTGTGTGCAGGTCCGTGCTGGGGTGGGCAGGCGGGGGCCCTTCCTGTGCCACAGGGCTGGGAATGGCTAGGGGAGATGGGCCAGAAGTGAGGAGGACCCTCACTGTGTCGCTCAGGGCTGGGTCTGTCTTAGGTAGGGATACTCCAGCAATGAGGGGGATCCTGTGTCCCCCCGGGGCCGGCTGGGATAGTAAGGGGGACTCTGCATCCCCCCAGGGCTGGGATTGGCTGGGGGGGGGGGATGTTGCATCAGTGAGGGGCACCCTGTGTGCCCTCAGGGCTGGGGTGGGGGTGTGCTCTAGCAGCAAGGAGGACCCTGCGTCCCCCTGGGCAGGGTATGTGTCAGGGGATGCTCCGGCAGTGAGGGGGATCCTGCATCCCCCTGGGGCTGGTTGGAGGTTGGGGGGGACACGCTCCAGCAGTGAGGGGGATCCTGCATTCCTGCAGGCTCCGGGGCCAGAGCAGGACCCAACCAAACATCCCGTGCTGGGGCTCTGCTCCCAGACCAGCTGCAGTCATGGCACCCACATCTCCTTTAGCCACCCCAAGATGCTGAGGGAGCTCCTCCACCCAAGGAAAGCTCCCTGCTGGGACTCTCCAGCTGGAGGGCTGCAGCAGTGCGGGAGCGAGTGGAGGCTCTGTGTGCCTGGGGGGCTGGAGCAGCGGCCTGGGGGCTGCCAGGGGCTCTGGGCACCTCTCCAGGCACCCCTAAACGCTCTCTCCCTGCGTGCCCCGGGCAGGGACCGGCCCTCCGTGCTGAGGCTGTGCTGCACCGACTGCTCCGCCGACTGAGCCGCCCCCGGCCGGGCCGCGCTGGGCCCGCCCTCCTCCCCCTGGCACTCCCCGGCCCCTCTAGAAAGTCCTTGTTGGTACCCAACACTGTCTTGGTCCTTCTGTGCCCGCGCAAGGGCCGGGCAGCCGCCCTCGGGGCGAGCCGGCCCCGTGGCCACCCCCTCGTGTCCCACACGGACTGCCCTTGGGGGGCCAGGAGGATGCTGTGTGCTGGTGGCATCAGCCCCGCTCACCCAGGGCTGCGGAGATGTGGCACCCGTTGGTGGCACCGAACCCCCCTGTGGCTGGTAAAGCCAGGGGGAAGTGATTTTGGGGTTCAGACAGTCTTTGCTGGGCTGGTGGAGCTGCTCATCGCGGTGCTGGTGCCTGGCTCCAGCCTTGTCCTGCTGCCAGGGCTGGAGGGAGCTCCATGTGCTCCCCACTGTGTCCCCCAGGGTGAGGAGCCGTGACAACGGGCAGCGACTTCCAAAGCGCCTCAAAACGTGTCCAAGCCCTGTTCCTTGCCCTGGCACAGCCCCCCTGGCGCAACAGAACCCCACAGGGCAGGGATGGCCCGTCCTGCCCGTGCCACATCCAGTGTCCATCCCCCCACAGTGGTGGCACGTGGCAGCACGTGTGACCCCTGCCAGCCTCTCGCGGTGTCCCAGCCCTGTCGTCACCCGCTGGAGTGGCATCCAGAGGGACGAGTGGGAGAGCTGGTCCCTCCCAGCGCCACGGGCATGGGAGAAGCCATCGATCCTGGCTGGCTGCCGTCCTGTTAGGGGGGGTGGCCTCGGAGGATGGTCACCACTCCCTCCTCCAGGAATGGGGTTGTACGGGAGCTGAAGCTTGGAAAAAAGGGGTGTGGAGCATCCCTGGGGCTGGCTGGGCACAGGGGTGCCCGGGGAGCCCATCCTGAAGCAGCAGAGGAGAGAGGGGAGATGCCAAGGTGATGGTGTTTTAAAGCAGCAGAGAAAATCCTGGGCCAGCAGAGCCCAGTCCCACTGGGATGCTTCCTGAAATGGGAGGGTGTGCAGGAAGTCGCTGGGTCCCGCTCCCGAGAGGTGTGTAGCAGTTTGGAGGGTGTTGAGCTTTGGGGGGATGCCTGAAGCCTCTCACATCCTCCTTGCCTGGAAAGACTCCTCTTGTGTTGGTGTCTTGGAGGCTTGGGGGCTGTGCAGGTGGGTGGTGGGCACTGCAAGGTTTGGGGTATGTCTGGGGGACCAGAGGAATGCATCCTCATCTCCTCTCTCTGTCTTCCCACAGCAAGCTGACACGGGAGAGTGGGACAGACTTTCCCATCCCTGTCATCCCCCCAGTGCCAGATGTGGAGACGGAGAAGCTCATCCGGGAGAAGGACGAGGAGGTGAGTGTGGGGGAGGGCTGAGCCCCCCCAGCCCCCCTTCCCCGCCGCTGCAGCCCCAGCCACGGCACAGCCCTCGGGGGCCACCCTTCCTGCACCATCCCAGCAGCTGCTGCTCCTCAGGCCGAGGGTCAGCAGGTGCTGAGGGGCATCAGAGGCTTCCCCCCACGCCCCTCCTGCTGATCCCGGGCTGCCCGGGCTGCTTGACCCAAAGCTGCTGTGGCTGGAGGTGCCACCACCCCCCACGACCCCTGCTCTGCTCCCTTCCAGCTGCGGCGGATGCAGGAGATGCTGCAGAAGATCCAGAAGCAGATGAAGGACTCACACTAGCCCTTTCTTCCTCCTCCTCCTCCTCCCGCTCCTGGCCCCCGGATCAGAAAGGTTTCCATCACGCTCCGCCCCGCCCGGCCCCGCCGCCTGACTCGGTACCAACCGCACCCGCCACCTTAAAGCTGCTGCGGTATCGCCTTATCCAGCGCCCAGAGCCGCCCCAGGGAACAGCCAGGGACAGCCAGGGCACAGCCCACCTGGCCCCGGGCTCACCTGCCCCCGTGTCCCCCCGGCCCCGGGGACAGCTTTGTCCCCCAAGCTTTGGCTTTCCCGGTGTCCCCTCCCAGCTCTGGGCCAGCCTGCTCCCCCTGTCCCCGGCTCACCTCGGGCCCCTGCTCACAGCCTTCACCTCGGCCTAGCCCTGCTCTAAGGGAAGAGGACAGGGGGGCACTGGGGGACAGAGCTGCTTGATGGCTTGGTTGGCACGGAGGGACAGCAGCTCCCGGGGGCACAGGGCACCCAGGGGATGGAGGGGCAGCCCCCACCCTGCTCCGTGTGCAGGGGGACTGAACTTGGCAGTGCCCAGCCCCGTGTCCCCACCCTGTCCCCACGGAGTGACACCAGGAATCCTGGCCCTGGGGAAAGTCCCTGGAACCCCAACTCGGAGCTCGGGTCCCCCTGGCTGTTGGCCCTGGAAAGCAATAATGACTGTCCTGTGCCTGTGGCACCTCCCACCCCATGACAACAGCATTGTCCCTGCTGCTACTTCGGCCCCTGATGCCACTTGCTTGTCTGTGGTGTCCCCGTGTGCCCAGGATGTCCCTGGCCCTGCTGCGTCCTGGCAGAGCATCCCTGTGTGTTCTCCAAGGCTGTCCCCATCCATGCTGCTTCTCAGTGAAGCGCTGCTGCGTGTCCCCACCTTCCCTGGGATGTCCCCACCTTCCCTGGGATGTCCCCACCTTCCCCTGGGATGTCCCCACGTTCCCCCATGATGTCCCCATGGGTGTTGCTGCCCTCAGGAGCACTGCATCTTGTCCCCCTGGGCTGTCCCCATCTGTGTTGCTTCCCCCCAGAGCACTGTGCGGTGTCCTTGTGTCCCCCCAGGATGTCCCCACCCCCATTCCCGCCCTGCAGGGCACTGTGTTGTGTCCCTGTGTCCCCCCAGGATGTCCCCAGCTGTGTTGCTTCCCGACAAAGCCCTGCTGTGTGTTCCCAGGGGGAGCCTGGCCCGCACCTCCCAGTATCCCTGAGGAGCTGGATCCCAACCCCTGCAGCTCCTGCTCCCTCCTGGCTGTGGGGAGGGACAAAAGGGGCTGGCGAGGCACAACTGGGAGCACTGGGATCACTGGGAGCTCGCTGGCAGAGGGGTGTGTCCTGTCCCCACCAGGGCCACCCAAGCTGGGGTCCCCCAGGTGGGTTCACCCCTGGTGGGAGCTGTGCCTGGCCAGGGTGGCTCATCAGGCACGTGCCCCCCGTGTCCCTGTGCCAGCCAGGGGGTCCCCGTGGGCAGGGCCCCGCAGGGTGTATTAGTGCTTTCCTTTTTTTAATCTGGCTATTTTCTTACAGAAGCCCCTCCTCCCTTGGCATGACGGTCCTAGAGGCGTTTGTTAATGGATAGAAGCAGAGTATAGGTTTATAAATTCTTAGAGAGTTAGTGGAAATATTTTTATCCCTCCACAACTGTTCTCAATAAATAACGGCTGACCCGGCTTGTCTGAAACCCCGAGTGGCTTCTGCACCAACACCCCACAGCCCTGGGCATCCCACATTCCCACAGCCCTGGGCATCCCACATTCCCACAGCCCTGGGCATCCCGTGTCCCTGGACAGCCCACATCCCTGGGCTGGCAGGGTCTTGCTCCGTGGCCTCTTGTTCCCAGTTCCTGTTTCCTTGGCTGTTGGGGTGTCCAACAGCCTCCAGGGAAGCAGATGCTCCCAGCCCTGCTGTGCCTGGCTGGGGATGTGTCACGCTCTAAGCCCCCCAAGTTCCTGGCTCTATCATTTCTCTTGGCTAAAGTTCCCCAGATTCCTTGGCACAGCCAAGTGCCCAAGGCACACTGGGTTGGGGTTTCCAGCACGAGGAGGGTGCAGCTGATGGGCTGGAGGGAAGGGGGAGCACCCAGTGGGGCTGTGAGAACCTCAGCAGGTTCAACCAGGCCAAGGGCAAGGGCAGGGACGGGGCAGGGCGATCCCCAGGGCCAGCAGAGACTGAGGGAGGGAGGGAGGGAGGGATGGATGGATGGAGGGATGGATGGATGGATGGATGGATGGATGGATGGAGAAGGACTGGGTGCTCCTGAGGGTCGGAGCAGGGCCAGGACATCACCTTCCTGGGGTCCTTCCCTCCTCTGCCTCAGCCCCACCTGTGACTGGGGATGCCAATTCCTGCCCTTCACCAGCCCAAGCCCCACCATCCCAACCATTAACCCTCCTGTCAGCAACATGGGAATAGGAAATGGTGGAGCTTCCTGGGCTGGAAGCAGCTCCCACCCCAAAGGCTGGGCTGCAGGAACCTCCCCATCCCACCCCTGCAGCTCCAAGACACATCCCCTGCCTGCACTTCCCTCCCCAGAACAGCCAACAGAGCCTCTGCTTTGGGCCTCTTTGGCCTCAGCCAGGCTGATTTATCCAGTTCCACTTCTCCACTTCTCCAGAGCATGAAACCCAGTGCTGAGGCTCCAGCCACAGCCCCAGCTGTGCCTACCCTTCATTCCATCTGATTTTCATCACACCTTCAAAAATAAAAAGTCCCAAACCCACTCAATCCCAGCCTTCCCAAGGCAGAGAGATTTCCACGTGGCAAATGCTTCCATTCCCTGATGTCCTATTTTAGTTTTCTTCCCAGTGCTGCCACTGCTTGCAGACATCCCTGCTGGAGCTCCAGCCAGGCTGGGAGGAAGGGAAAAAGGCTTTCTTAGGGCTCAAAAGGAGATCTCTCACCTCGTCCCCTGGGCTGTGCCACTGATGACTGACACCTAAGGAGAGCTCAAGTGGTGTCAGCTCAGCCCTTGCCTTGCCTTCCCTTCCTTTCCCAGACCTTCCCAAACCTTCCCTTCCCAAACTTTCTCTTCCCAAACCTCCCTTTCCCAAACCTTCCCAACCTCCCTTTCCCAAACTCTCCTTCCCAAACCTTCCCTTCCCCTTTTCCTTTTCCCTTCTCCCTTCCGCCTTCCCTTCTCTCTTCCCTTTCCCTGCCCTCATTTATTCCTCCTAGGATTCCCGATACCCTCCCCCCTGGCAGAGCCCCTGCAGCCCCACCTTTCCCCGCTCCTTCCAGACCCCCAAGCCTGCGGCTCCTTCCCCCTCTCCTCTCGTACCTCTCCTCCCCTTGTCACATCCATTGCCGGCGCCGCCTCTCCCGGATCCAGGGGAGCCAGGAGCAGTCACTCCCATTGCAGCCGGCGCCCTCTGCGTGCCCGGGAGCTGCCGCCTGGGGGTGACAGCCCTTCCCCTGGCCTTGGAAACGTCACGAGGCTTTGGGATGCAGTGTCTGAACGCATCCAGGGAATGCTCCTGATGGAGCAGGGCCAGCCCTGCTGACTCCGCTCGCAGCTGGGGGAGTTCAGGGAAGCCAAAACCCCAGAGCTGTGGTTGTGCTGCTGCTCTTCCCCTCCTGCAAGGGCAGCTGAAACATCCCACAATTACCTTCCAGCTGCAAAATGGGCCTCAGAGCAGATCCTCCATCCAGCTCTGGCACAGAAAAGTCTTCAAGCCCTCTGTGGCCTCTCTGTTCCCCACCCCCGAGTGGGAAAACCAGAGCAAGAGCCTGAAACACTTCTCAGGCTGGGAGAGCTGGGCGGCTTCACCTGGAGAAGAGAAGGCTCCAGGGAGACCTGAGAGCCCCTTGCAGGGCCTAAAGGGGCTCCAGGAGAGCTGCAGAGGGACTTGGGTTAGAGGGACTTGGGACAAGGGATGGAAGGGCAGGGCAAGGAGGAATGGCTTCAAAGTGCCAGAGGGCAGGGAGAGATGGGATATGGATATGGGGAAGGAATTCCTCTTGTGTGGGAAGGTTCCTGGAGCTTCCTTGCAAACACTCAGGCTGTGCTGTGTTCTGACAGTACAATTCCCATGGCACGGGAGACCCACCAAGAACATTCCGGCTGACCTGCCAGTGGGCTCAGAGGGTTGGCAGAGCCAGCCATCCCCCCTCAGTGATGATGCCACCGGTGATGTCAGCACAAAGCACGGGCAGAAATGGCAGGGAAAGGCTGCTCTGATGCTGCTATTCCCCTGGAAGTGGCCCAGGTGCCACTGTCCTGGATCTCTCTCCAGGGCCAGGGGCAGAACCTTGGACAAACAGCACCACTCTGCTGGACCAGAGCAGAGGTGACAAGGTGGCCTCCACGGCTGGGTGTCCATGGCCCGTGAGCAAGGCTGAGGGTCCCACCCTGGAGCCCAGGGCTTGGTGCAGCACCCTCTGCTGTCCTGGGCCAGGCTGGGGCCCCCTGAGCTCCAGCTCCTCCTGCAGCCCTCAGGTGACACCTGGGGCTTGCTGCAGTGCAGGGTTGGGAGTCACACGAGGGACCGGGGAGGGGAGAGGCACCAAGGCTCTGCAGGCAGGTCAGGCAGCCCCAGCCTGGGGGCTTCAGCTCAGGTTTGGCTCTTTCCAAGGCAGGGAAAGAGCCTTCTGCTCCCCAAAACATTCACCCCGAGGCCCACACGGGTCTCAGCCCCTTCCCCAGGTTTCCCCATCGCTGCCTCAGACAGACACCAGCCCGGCGGGGTCCCCGAGCTGGCTGGAGGGGCAGAGGTCCCACAACTGTCTGGGGCAGCAGGAGTTGGCCTCAGAAGCGCACAGGGGAGAAGGCCAGCCTGCCCCCAGCTTGGGGAAGCTGTGCCCAGCCAGCCCATCCCCACCTCTGGGGGGGGGAGCAGTCGGCTGGGGGGCAGGGGCTGCCCCCAAACCCAGCCCAGCCCCCCAGTGCTGGACCCCCAGCGCTCTGGGGGACAGAAGTGACAAAAAGAGCACCCATTCCAGCTTCACCACAGCACTGGGAGGAACGAAGAAGATCTAATTTAATAAACTAAACCCATCGGGGAAGGGGCACTGGGGGTTTCCTGGGGCTCCCAGAGCTGCCACGGAGATGTCCCTACTTCTTTTTGCGTCCTTTGGTGTTCATTCGGATCAGCTGCAGCCCCTCCTTCTTGATGTCCTCACGGCTCGGCACGTAGTCGTGCTCTTCCTCCTCCAAATCCAAGGAGACTGGAGGGGAGAGTGGAGTAGAGGTGGGTGGGAGGCTCTGGGCTCCATCCCTGCTGTGCCCAAGTCCCCAGCAGAGCCAGCAGGGTTTGGATCTGGGGGATCCCAGAGAGCCCCCGTGCTGAGCCCCAGGGCTTTTCCACCCCAGCACCCCAGGGTGACCTGCAGGACCTGGTGACAGCCCATCTCCAGCACTGATGGGGCTTCCCAGAAAGGTTTGGAGCTACAGGGGGCTGGCCACAGCTCCTGCTTTGCTAAGAATAGGTGGTGACCTGCCAAAAGCTCTTTGTCCCCTCCAAGAGCATCCCCAGGCAGAGCCAAGCACTGATTCTTCTTCCCAGCCAGGTGAGTTTGAAGACAAGGGACTCCCTACCTGCCCCACAGCACCTCTCCTTGTTCCTGCTGTGGCCTGATGCTCATCAGCCCCCCCACCTGCCTTCCTTCTCCCACAGCCCCACCTCAAACCACCCTCCCTGTGCTCAAAGCCCTGGGGACAGCCAAGATCAGCCCCAAGTTCTGCAGGACACTGGGAGACAGACAGGGAGCCCAAGAAGTGCCAGCAGGCAGGGGCTGGGACAGTCTCTGTGTCCCTGCTGCACTCTCCTACTGGGGGGTGCAGCGTCCACATCCTCAAAGGAGATCTTCAGGTTCCGTGCCTCAGCCGCAATCGATTTCTCCAGGAGATCTCTGACCTTGGCAAAAGTCTGTGAGAGACACCCTGGGTAAGTGCTGAAGGCAGGGCAGGTGTTCCAGCCCAGGGGGTGCCCCACCTCGATGGTGTGGGGACACCCCACAGCTCCCAGGGCCATCTGGGGCTGAGCTGCTCCGGGGCTCTTCCCTGTGGCCACCTCCGTGCTCTGGGTGAGGGAGGATGACTGGGATGGGCTGGGAGAGCCCTGTGGGGGTCCCCAAAGGTACAGCAGGGACGGAGGGACGGACCTCACTGTCCTTGTCGTAGGTCCTGGCGCTGGGGGGGCGCTCGGACACCCTCTGCTTCAGGTACCGCATCTTGTCCTCAACCACCCGCAGCTTCTCCTCCACCCCCACGGGCCGGGCAGACTCTTCCTGCAGGGAGGGAGAGGGAGAACAACCACCTCGGTGGGGAGAACAGGAGAGCAAGCCCCCCCCGAGGTGGTGGTGGCTGCACCAGGGCTCACTGCGCTGTCCCACCCCACGGGGGCCACGTGGGCACCTGGCCGGGGATGGTGATGCCGCGCAGGCGGACGACCAGGTTGTCGATGGCGTTCTCAAACTCAATCAGCTGCTCCTGGTTCCTCATCAGCTGTGCCCGCCGCCGGTCCCGCCGGGCCTCCACCTCCTGCAGCTTCGCCCTCAGCTCCTCCTCCCGCAGCCTGGAGCCAACACACCCCTCACACAACTGCCCAGGGGGCAGGGACACCCCACAGATCCGCTGCAGGCACCCCAAATCTACTGCAGACCCCCCAAATCTTCTGCAGACCCCCCAACTCTGCTGCAGACACCCCAAGCCTGCTGCAAGCACCCTACATCTGCTGCAGACCCCCCAAACCTCTTGCAAATGCTGCTTGCAACCCAACTCCGTGCTGCTGGCACCACTCCCCGTGCCAGGCAAAGAGCCAGGGTGCCCCCAGGGCCACAGTGGCAGCTTTGGGTGCCGTGCCAGGAGCAGGGTGGGGGGATCACCCCGCTCAGGAACCCCCAATGCCCAATGCAGGAGGGGTGGCTGGCTGCAGCGGGATGGAGGTCAGGGTGCCTGTTGAGACGTGTCCCCCCCACAGATGGTGGCCTGCTTGGCAGGGCTGCCCCAAGGCCAGCAGCACCTGGTTGTGCTGAGAGGATCGTGAGACTTGAGCTTGTCCCGCTTCATCTCCAGCTCCTTTAGGGCCTGAGTCAGCACCTCCTTCTCCTCCTTGCACTTCTGGACGTACTGCTCCAGGTCCTCCAGGGACTTTGAGTGTTCCAGGAGGCTGCTCGGGATGTCCTGGCCAGGGGAGAGCAGGAGGGCTCTGCCCACGGTGCTCCTGCTGGGGGCACCTCGGGGAGGTCACAGCTGCAATCCCGTGCCATGGACGAGGGCAGCTCCCTGTCTGCCCACACAGGAGACACTTTGGGGGGGCTCCAGGGAGAGCAGAGCGGACAAACCCCCCAGTGAAACAAGGGCAGCAGAGAGGTCTCAGCTCCCCAGCGTGGGGCAGCCCCAGGCTTGAGCAGGGAGGGCTTTTCATTACCCAGATGCCGCAGCACTGCAGGGCAGCCATGGCCTTCTCCAGCTCGTCGCTCACAAAGGCCTCGCGCTCCATCTCGGTCCGGGCGGCCTCCGTGTCGGCCCCTGGGGTGGGAGGGCAGGGGGAGGGGAGGATGTGCCGCTGGCAGTGCCCACAGCCAGGCCCTGCCCCCTGCCAGGCACTCACCCCCCGTGGCGTCCGAGGAGCTCTGGGCTTGCTCTGCGGACAGCATGGACGCTGCTTGCTGCAAGGACAGTCACTGTCACCCCCCTGCTGGCACCGGGGCAGCTGCCCCTGCAGCCCCCATCCCAGGGGGCTCAGCACCGCTGGCTGGCACCCACCCACAGCCCGGGACCCCCAGCTCACCTCTCTCAGCTGCCTTTCGCTCTCTACCTGTTGCTGGAGGTTCTCCATCTTCTCCCTCTGCTCCAGCAGGGACTGCTCCCTCAGGGACCTCTCCAGGGGGACCTGGCGTCCTGCCTCAGCCCTGAGTTTCTGCAGCACAACAGAGGAGGGAGAAGTTGCTGCCAAAGTCAGCTGCAGCTTTCTTCAGATTGCTTACTGGCTTTAGAGGATTGCTTTAAGGTGGGCTATTGGGAAGAAATTGTTCCCTGGGAGGGGGGGAGGCCCTGGCACAGGTTGCCCAGAGAAGCTGTGGCTGCCCCAGCCCTGGAAGTGTCCAAGGCCAGGTTGGACGGGCCTTGGAGCAAGCTGGGCTAGTGGAAGGTGTCCCTGCCCATGGCAGGGGGTGAAATGAGATGATCTTTAAGGTCCCTTCCAACCGAACCCATTCCATCAAGCGAGGATTTGGGACCCAGCTGAGCTTTTGGGATGGCCAAAAGATCAAAAAGAACCTCATTGCACACAAACAGGCTGGGAAGGAAGCTGGGAAAGGCAGACTGGGCCATGCAGCAAGCTGCCTTCCCCACGGCTGCTGCTTCACGCAGGCTGTCCCCAGCCCCAGGGCAGCCTGGCCCAGCAGGAGCTGTGCACGCAGCTGGGTGCTGTGGGCAACTCCAGCTCCGTCTCTTGTGCTCTTGACTGAAGGCACGAAGTGCTGTCTGGGGGTGCTGCAAGGTGGGAAGGGGCCCCAAGGTCCTTGTCCCAAGTCTCACCTTGATGACATCAGCGGCTTTCAGGTTTTGCTGGGCTGTCAGCTCCTCGTTGTACATGGCAGCTGTCGCACACATGAGGTCCAGGTGTCGAGGCAGGTAGAACAGCTCCTGGGACACAGGGAACACAGCAGGTCACACCTCGAGCCCTGGGGGTCCCCCAGGCTGTGACAGGGGATGGGGGGAGCAGGAGGACACGGACACAGCCCCTTGGGCACTTGGTGCCTCTGCAGGGGGAGCAGGTGGCATGATGGCACGGTGATCAGGAGCTCACCTTCTTCAGCATGTCCTGCAGCTGCAGGTACATGTTGGTCACCCTCTCCCCAGCCTGAATTTTCATGTTCATCTTCTCGAGCTCGTTGCCCAGCCTGCGAATCGCCTGGGGCACACACCGGGGGAGGACATGAAGTGACTCTCTGGGCCATACCCAGTGCCCAGCTGGGGGGGGTGCAGGATTGAACCCCACACCAAGAGCTCCTGGCTACCTGCAACTGTGGCTGCTGCAGCTTGTCATCCAACTCAGCATCCTTGAGCAGCTGCAGGTACCGCTGGCGATCGTCCCGGGCCTTGGTCCACAGCTTCACCTGGTGGTCCAGCATGTCTAGCACCTTCACCTGGTCATGGATCTCGGCCTCCAGCCTCTTCTCGGCTGCCTGGATGGGCATGGGAATGTTTAGCAGGCTGGATGCTGCAGGAAAAGGGGGTCCTACCTGGGAAACTCCCCCAAAGTAGAGCTGGGGACACCGGGACGTTGCTGCGGGACATTGTCCCGCCTTTGACAGGCTGGCATGTGGGAGAGCTTTGCTGGGGGAGGCAGAGCTGGGCAGGGCTAGGCTGGCCTTAGGCACTCTGCAGAACACAGATCCAGGGCTGGGGGTCAATCAAATCCACCAGTGCCCCAGCTGTGGGTGCTGCCAGAGCAGCAGCAACCGCTCGGGCCCTGCCAGAGGCCCCCAGGCAAAGGCAGTTCCTCCATCTCCATGGGCTCATAACCAGGCCACAACCTTGGGACAGGCAGTGAAGGACAGGGATGGCATCTCTCTCCCAGGGATGCTCTTGCACCCCAGGAACCCAGGCAGTGCCAGGGTGGCACAGCCAGGAGGTCACTGGGGCCAGGGCTCTGCTCAGGGAGCTGAAGGAGGACCTGCGGTGGAAAGGGACGGGTCCTGTGGTGGAAAGGGAGCCTCAGCACTCCCGTGAACACCCTGGGAATCACCACGGCGGCCCTGGGGGGCTGTCCTTGTGCTGGCCCCACATCCCTCTGCCGTGCACTGCTCTTGGCAGTGTTCCCAGAGCCCCAGCCCCCCAGGGGGTGAGCAGCCCGTCCCACCAGACCCTGCTGGTACCTCCAGGCTCTCGGTGGCCGCAGCAGCCGTTTGCCCCGCTTCGAAGGCATCGCTGGCGGGCAGCCTGTTGTACTGTGGGCAGGAGAGGGACAAAGGACTGTCACCGTGTGCCTGCCAACAGCCACATCCTGCTGCTGGCTCCTGCAAGGGAGCGCTGCAGGAGCTGCTGGAGCAGGGGTGCAGCAGGCGGGGCCTTTTGGTACCTTCAGCACAAAATCCAGGACACGGGCATCCTCCTGCAGCGCCTGCTGCAGGCTGGGCAGCAGCTGTCTGTTCTGCCGGAGCTTTTCCTCACACGACTGCGAGAAAATCTGCGCGCCTTTCGCTGCAGGACATCAAGCGAGGGCTCATTGGTAACGTGCAGGACGACGGGGGAGGGCCCCGAGCCCGCCCCCGTCCCCGCGAGGCCGAGGGGCAGCACCTTGCAGGGCGACGAGGTCGCGCAGCTCCCGGCAGCGCTGCTCCAGCCCGGCCTTCTTGCCCTGGGTGCCGCCAGCACCGCCGCCCTGGGCCCCCTGCCCCGCCTCTGCCATCCTGGAGCCAGGAGGAGCAGCCACAGTGGCCCCACAGCCCCGGGAGGGAGTCCCAGCGCTGTCACCGGGACGGTTGCGCGGCCCAACCGTGGCTGAGGCCCCTCCAAGGGCCCCGCGGAACCGGCCCCGGGGCACCTCCAACTGCCGCCCACGCGGGACTCCTACTCAGCCACGCCCCTACAGGGCACACGTTAATTAGCAACTGCTTAATGAGGGGCAGAAGGATCCCACCCTGGTTTCTTATTGCTGTGGCAAGAGCAGTTGTCACCTGGCCAGTCATGGACCATTCCCGGCCATGGGCCATTCTGAGCCCCACCAGGAACAGAGGGGCAATTCCAGGGAAATCACACGTACACCCACCACACCAGCAGTGCTCTCCAGGAAGCTGCCAGCTCATTTACATGCCCACCTCTGGAAATTCCACCTAATTAGCCAGGAAATCATTGTGCAAGGAATTCAACTCCTGCAGAACAGGCAAAGCCAAAGCATTACCAATACTGAGCTTTATTTTGATGCTCACCAGACATTCTTGCTGAACTACAAATATGACAAGAAATGCCAGCGTGTCCATTTATTTGTTATAAATAAACCCAAGCTCCCTCCAGCCGAGAAAATCCTTAATGTTTGGATTTGTAGAAAAAAAGGGCTTCATAAGGAAATTGCCTTCCTTGCACCAAGCTCCTAAATCAGCTCAGATGAAGGTTCTGTAACTCTAGATCTTTGTCCTGCAGCCACCCTGTTGTGCTCAAGGTGTTGAACATGTAAAACAAAGAAATTAAAGGCTTGTGAAATCAGGTATTACCCAGATAAGTTCCTCTGAGGCTCTTGCTCAGCATCTCATTTGCGTATTTATGAACTGCATGTTAGTGCTAATTGCCAGTGACAAGCTAAATATCCACATGATCATCCTCAGTGCTTCCTGAAGCGTGTACGGGGAGATGGCCACGAGAAAGCAGCAGTTCAGGGCTGTACCCACAGAGATCTCCCACACTGAGCCCGTGTCCACATGGCCAACCCAGTAATTACACCACTGAATTTCCTGGGCAGCATTTAAACCCCCTGGGGACAAGAGAGAGCACTTTAAAATGGATCAAGTGGTTCAAGAATCGCTTTAGCACCTGCCCTCCGCAAAGCTCAGGCTCTGGAGTGGCAAGTCCTCCCCAAATCCCGCTGAAGGAATTGATGCTGGCTTTGCACGAGCACAAATCAGCTTCCCAGGGGAAGTCCTGGACTGAGGATCCACCTGACATGCCAGACCTTCCCTCCTTCCAAGCCGATTTCCACCCTGCTGAAACCCTGGGAAATTCTCGATGAGTTCAAGGTCCAGAGGAAAAGGTCAGGAGTCCAAACCTGAGCTCAGTTTAACTGTCAGAGGGTGAGCTCTGGAAGGCAGCAGCAACCAGGGACCACCACACATTCACCTGGGAGAGATCTAATCCTTGGCTGGATTTATCCCCAGCTCCTCACCTGCTGCCTACTGTCAGCATGGAAATGGGAATGTAACGTTAAAGGCTCCCAACATTCCTGCTGGTTTAGCTTTTAGTCACTGAACCAGCTCTGCTTTGCCCAGTGCTTCATATTTTTAGTATCTCCTTCCCCCGTCGCTGTCCTCCCTTCCCCTCTCCTCCGAAACCCCTCCCAATCATTTGTTTAACACAGCTGCAAGAAGATTGAACAGAATTAGCAGGAACTCCATCCCGTGCCCCAGGAGCTGGCTGGAAATTCTGTGCCTGGATTAGAGAGAGAAGCACAAAAAGACAGAGGATAAAGGCCAGCTGCCAGAATTGGTCTGTGCTGCGTTAAAAAGCAAAGGGGCACACACAAACAATTCCTGCTGGGAATTACAGCCCAACAAAAGCCCGTCTGGCTCCATGGCCAGAGGCCACCACTGCCTGTTTGAGATTGATTTTATCATGTGAACAGAGAGAGCAGCTCCCAAGCATAGGCTCAGCCCACAAAAAGCCTCACCACAGCCAGGGATATCTCCTATACTATTAACAAAAATAAGTATTTTCTTTATCTATAATATATAAATAGACGATCATTTGCTTTTATTAATGTAGCTAAATATATCTTATGAATAAGTTATTTGGAGAACATCATCTCTAAGTCAGCAAGTGCTGTTATATCCAGTGAAGGAAATCTTTACTAATGGTCCTTTGAAGTACTTTAATTACCAAGCAGCCAATTATGGAAGTCTAAGTCAGTTTTCACGCTGCCAAGAGACTGATTTTTGGACATGATTCACACTTTGCACCTGTCAGAAGTGAAAATGCAGCTCTTTTTTTTAAAGGTTCCTCTCCTCACACACAAACCCCCTCCTCAGTGACCAGTGCAATCTTCCACTCAACACTGACGACCTCAAAAGTATCATTTAAACAACTTCAACAGCAACCCTGAAACTAAAGCAAAGCCAGAGCAACCTCCTGCCACGTCCTAACTCAGTCCTTATTAGTGCAACCCTGACACAGAAGCTTCCTACAGGCAAAGACATCTGTAACCCAAACAAGTGTAAAATGATAAAAACCCACCCCCACGCTGCACGGAAAAATCCCAAAGGATTAGTGTCAGAAAAGGTTTGGCAGCAAGAGATTGGAAAAAACCCATGAAGGCCTAACAGAAGAGAGTGTGGCTACACCAGTCATTTCAGGGCAGGCTGTTGAAGCAGAACTGCTGCAGGGAGGTTTTGTTATTCCAGCTTCTCATCCCCTTCCTCCACATCCTTCAGACTGAGCACTTCCAGGGATCCCTTCCCTTTGGTCTCACTGCGGATCAGCTCGTCGATCTCTCGGAAGCAGCCGGGGTCAACAAGGCACACCTGGAATGTTCCACATGTCACAGTCAAGCAGGAATATGGGAATTTCATCAGCCCCTAAGCAAGGCCTAGCATTAATTCTCATTAAAAAAAGACATTTAGATACTAAGAAGGTCTTTGCAGAGCTGATAAACAGCATCTATCAGGTAGTCTAATCTTTCCACTGAAATTTCTGCAGCTCCAGTTCCCCATGCTGGACATGGCTTTTTCCAGGTGGGATTGCTGGATTCTAATCTGTTCCCAAAGAAGATTCTTACTAATACCAAATTTTGCTTTAGCACAGACTTAAAAAAAGTAATAATTAATCACTAATACTAAAATATAATAAAATAATAAAACAGAGGCCTGAGCCACCACATAAATAACAGTAACATTCCACATATGCAGATAAACTTATCAGTGTGGCAGGATAATCAATGGTAAGAGAAATTGCACTGTGCTTCTGCTCAGCTTGGAGCAGCAATCTGTGGATAACAAAGGCTCACATCCCTAGGACTGTGTGAAATTACAAACCCCAAACAGCAGCTCTGATTCAGGATCTCTGGTAAACCTGCAGTTCCACCTTCCACCTCTGAGCTCAGCTTCTATTAAAATATGTAGTCAAGTCAAGTATAAAGCCCAGGGGCTGCTTTTTGCTTACAATTTCCAGCTGCTCCTGGAAGTCCTCGCTCTCAATAACTTTAATCAGGGGCTTGAGCTTCTCTTTCAGTTTCTTGCCCTCCTTTGGTGGAAGGAGAAACCTCAGCCTCATGTGAGCACGTTCAATTTGCATGGTCTCCTTCAGCTGCCTGATCACTTCCAGGGCCTGTGAGGACATGGAGAGCATTTACACACCTGCTTCAAAACCACTCCACATATCAAAATCCCCAACCCTTTGCATCAGCTTCAGACCCATCTCTCAGTGCTGGTCACTGGCACTCTGCTGCAGGGAGGTTGCTGTCACACCCTTTTTGACAGATTAACAAGAAAAAGCAGAGTTCTTGCTGTTTGTGATCACTTCAAACACTTAAAAACCTTGTCTGAAATAAAATTAAATAGCAATTACACTGCAAAACACCACAAACCTACGTGGTTCAGATGCAAAGCCTGATATAACACCTCAGTTAGGATAAATCACAAACCTTTGATTTTTTGTTTCAGGTGTTTTTTGTTTCATTGTTGCTGTTTTATTTCAGTTTCTTTCTTTCCCCCTTCCCTGAATTCTTACAAAACAAAGTGCCTGAGTTTCAGGAGCTGCTTGTATTCAGCAGCCAGATGGCTGAGTAATCCCTGTGAGGGCTCAGGTGCTGATCCCTGTGACAGGGAGCTGAGCACAGCACCTCAGAGCGGGAGCTGGTGTTGCAGGAGGACTCACCTGCTGCTTGGTGCTCTTGTTGGGTTTGACAGAGTAGTGGATGTCCTTCATGGCCCTCTCGATGAGGATCACTGTGTAGGGCCTCTTTGTTTCAGGGTTCACACATTTGTCAGCCACGATGGTGGCGATGTCTCGGAACATCTGCTCCAGCTGAGTGTGGCGCTCCTTGTCTGACACCTGCAGCTCCCCTTTGGATAAAATCTGTATTGGAACAACAAAGAAATCAGTTAATCAACATCATGGATGTGAAGAGTGAAAATTCCAGTAACTCTGTTAAATTTAATCCTTGTTTGAATGGCTTGAGTAGATGTGAAGTGCAGAAAACAACAACAATGTCAACAAAGTAAATTGTTATGACAGCTCTGGAAAGACTTCAGACAAAAAACTCACCATGGAAACACTGAACTACAGTGAGGAAGGCACAGATTTCATAGCATCACAGAGGATCCTGAGCTGGAAGGAACCCACAAGGATCGTGGGAGTCCAACTCCTGGCCCTGCACAGACAACCCAACAATCCCCCCCTGTGCCCCAGAGGATCATCCAAACCCTCCTGCAGCTCTGGTAGCCTTGGGGCTGTGCCCACTGCCCTGGGGAGCCTGTTCAGTGCCAACCACCCTCTGGGGGAAGAACCTTTTGCTGAGATCCACCCTGAGCCTGCCCTGACACAGCTCCAGCCATTCCCTGGGGGCTGTCCCTGCTCACAGAGAGCAGAGATCGGAGCTGCCCCTCAGGAGAAGCTGCAGACCCCAATGAGGTCTCCCCTCAGTCTCCTCTTCTCCAGCTGAACAGACCAAGTGCCCTCAGTGTCCTCACATGGCTTCCCCTCGAAACCATTCCCCATCCTCGTGGCCTCCTTTGGATGCTCTCTAATGGATTTATGTCTTTCTTATCTTGCAGTGCCCAAACTGCCCCAATGTTGAGGTGAGGCCGCCCCAGGGCAGAGCAGAGCGGGACAATCCCCTCCCTGATGCCCCCAGGACAGGGTTGGCCCTCCTGGCTGCCAGGGCACTGCTGGCTCAAGAGATTTACTTGAATTTTTATCACTCACAATAAGCCCATGGTTCCTATCCTACACAGAAGGATCAAGAGATTGGATCTGTTATTAACACTTAAGTGAACTGTCCAAAGTAAGCAACTATCCACTTATCTTAGGTGAGGAACTGTTCAATGCTTGACATCAGTGCAGAGAAGCTGTGTTAGAACACTCGGAACTTTTTTTAGCCAATTGCATATATAAAATTTAAGACTATAAAACAGAGTTTCTCCTCTCCTCTTTACTCATTTCATAACAAACAACTACAGCAGCATTCTGCAAACAGTAAAAACCAACTTACTGTGTGGCTGTAAGTCTTCTCCAAGCTTTTATAAAGCAAAGTGTGTAAAACCTACCATCTTACAGATTTCTGTTTGGTCATCTGTCCCAAATGCCTGAACCAGATCTTCCTTCTTCGCCACCTGGCCTTTGGAAACGTTGACAAACACCGTATGTGTCTGCAGGACCTCGTCGAGATCTTTCTCCCTGGAGACAAGGACAGGGTTAGAAAACCTCACAGAATCATCCCAGAACGGGATGGGTTGGAAGGGATCTTAAAGATCACCCAGATCCAGCCCCTGCCATGGGTAGGGACACCTCCCACTAGCCCAGGTTGTTTCAAGTCCTGTCCAGCCTGGCCTCGGACACTTCCAGGGCTGGGGCAGCCACAGTTTCTGTGGGCAACCTGTGCCAGGGCCTCACCAGCCTCACCGGGAAGGATTTCTCTCTAATACCCCTTTTAACCCTGTCCTCTGTCAGTGTGAAGCCACTCCCCCTTGTCCTGCCACTCCAGGCCCTTGTCCAAAGTCCTCCTCCAGCAAAGCCCCCAGTGCAAGGAGCACATCAGTGTTTAACTAAGGAACAACTCCTGCTGCCCAGGGCTGGATCAGCAGCGCCTGAAAAACCTCCATCACCGAGGTGCCACTGCCCAGGGACCCCCTTCCCGGCCCCGCACCATGTCCCGGCGGTCACACCCGGGCCCCAGGGCAGCTCCACGGCCCCTCAGGGGTCACTGCCGAGGGGCACACGGGCTGCCAGGCAGGACCCCCGGTCCCTTCCCGACTCCCCACACGGTCCTTCCCCGCTCCCCTCCCCCGGGCCGCCCCGCCGGCTCCCCGGGGCACTCACGCTCCGCTGCGCCAGCCCATGACCTTGTTGCGGTAGCAGGCGATCTCGAAGCGCTTGCCGGCGCGCCGGGCCCGCACCACGGCCACGTTGGTGAGGCGGATCTGGTTGGTGGGGGTGAAGATGGACATGGCGGCGGCCGCGGGCGCTGAGCGGCCCCGCCCCGGCCCGGCAGTGAATGGCGGCGGGGCGGGCCGGGCGGAAGGGGCGGGAGCGGCGCATGGCGGGCTGAGGGAGCGCCGGCCGGGCCGGGGGTCGGTGCGGGGCTGGGCTGGGGGCTGTGGTGCTGATAGTGGCACAGTAGCGGTGAGGGGAGGGTGTGATAACCGCGTGTGTGCGGGTGGAGGGACTCTGAGGTGGGGCTGTGGGAAGTGTGTGGGGGGGGCGTGTGTGGGGTGATAACCGTGAGGGGGATCTGTGTGGTACTGCTACTACTGCTACTAATAATAACAATGAGCAGGCACATAACCACGTGTGTGTGTGTGTGGAGTAACTGTGAGACGGGCTGGGAACCGTGGGGATATAACTGTGGTGCTGGGGGCGATCTATGGGATCACAACCGTGGAGGGGAGTTTGGGGGGTCGTAACCGTGAGGGGAGAGGGTGGTGGTAATAATAATAATAATAATAATAATAATGGTGTTCACAGGCACCACACAAGCTCATTGCTGGCTGCAGCATTCTGTACCCTGAATGTGCTGCACCGCCTTTGTAACATCTCAGTTGTTCCAAGTCAAACTTCGCTTGCACCCTGGAATTCTGAGAAAGTGCTTCCAGCTGAACCCAGGTTTCAGTCTGCCCTTGGAACTCTGTTTGTAATCAGTGCAATATCTAATGTGTGTAAGCAAAGGCTGTGTTCAGCAGCAGACTGTGGAGGTGATTCCCCCTTGAACTGGAGTTTTCTAGTCCCAGTAGATCTGCACTTGTGTCAAACCAAGGCCAGTACGATCGAGTGGGTGTTTCAAAAGGATTTTTTGCTTTCAGGCACTTGCACAGCTTAAATATTTTTCTGCTTTTCCTTATAGAAGAGGGGTCCTAGAAAGAAAAAACCAGAATGTCCAGACTCAGAATCTAAAATATTAATCTGGAGCTCAGCTGACACACCTGAGGAGGTGAAGGCTTCTTGATTCAATTTTAGTGCCTTTAGCCAAAAGCTGTTTTCTGCAGTGCCCGGGGAGTAGCTGATGCCATGAGACTGTGGGGACTGTGTGGTTGGTTTTTGTGTGCTCATTCCACATTCATACTGTCGGAATCTGTGGCTTATTCCAGATTTAGATGTCTCAATGGATACATGGAGCTACTTTCATACTTGCCTGGCGTCCATATGGCTGCACAGATTTTACATCTACTCCGCTGTTGCTTTGGGGATCAGCCTGTGGATTGTCATTCAGTTCACCACCACCAAAACCAAAAAGAAGGTAACTGAACCTGTCAGCACTTTTGTCTGAGGAGACCCCAAAACCCCATGAGTGGAAGTGAGGATTTGCTGGGTGAAGGCATCCACTGGTGCAGTGAAATGTTCCATGTCACTGTGGGCCCACCTAGAAGGTTACAACTCTCAAAAGCTCCTTAGTTCATGTGGTTATAATCCTCAGTTTGGATTGTTTTATGTTTGAGGGTCACTAAAAGCTACCCTTGCTCTGATTTTGGAGCAGATCTCAGCTGGACACTTCTCACACTGTGCCAGTCATTCCAAGTAAATCCCTCTGCTTGTGCCCTGTGTTTTCACTTTCGTGTTTGCAGTGATGTTAATGACAAGGTTGGACTGGTTTAGCGTGGGAGTGGGATTGGACCATTCAGGAACTGAAAACCTCCTCGTGCAGGTGGTTGAAGTTCTGCTGGTAGAGTTTGGGAGAGCTGGATCCTTTTATCTCCCAGGTATTGCAGCATGGCTTAGGTCAGGGAAACACTTCCTGCTGGGTTTGCCTGGGTGTGAGAGGAACCCAAATGCTGTTGCATTTGTGCAGTGCTGACAGTCTGGCTGCAGGATTTGAATTTTAAATGCTTTTGGTTTAACATCACTTGCAAAGGGGATCGATTGAAGGTGACACAGCTCCTGTTTCATAGGGTGAAAAATCCAGTGGGAATCCCACTTCCTCCAGAGGGACAGAGGACAAGCTGGTAAATGGATGTGCCACCCCTCAGGCAAAGGAGGTGTATGTTGCTGGAGTGAAGATCTTCTATGGGTCTCAGACTGGTACAGCAAAGGTATCAGTTACTTTTGTTCCACATTTGTGAAATAGATCTGAAATATTATTGGGATTCAAGCATGTTGTTTGTCTTAAAACACTGCACTGGGCACAAATCTGAGAGTTCATTAGGAAGTTCATTAGCTCCGTACAAGTCATTGGCCAACACAAAAGGTAAGTGAAAATTCTATAAAAGTAATATTTCCCCCCTCCTTTTAGGTGGGGCCTGCAGGATATTGATTATGAAACTTCAAGTTTACTCTTACACTATAATTTTAATTTGCTAGCAGATCTTCATAGAAACAGGTGCTGGCTTTGGTGCTTTCTCAAAAAGAAATGCCATTTGTGTGTGTAAATGTATAAAGCCATTAAAATGCATGGAATTCCTAGCCAGTTACTTCATGTTTTTCGTGTGAGGAGTTACAGGTCCAGTGTCCAGGCCTCAGGTTCTTCCTGTGCTGGGAGAGGTTTTGAGGCTGAGCACAGCAGGGCAGCTGGGGGTTGAAGTAACTGATAACTTCCTCTATGTTTCTGTTTCCAGAGATTTGCCAAAGCTCTGGCTGAAGCTGTTACTTCCCTTAATTTGCCTGTGGAAGTCGTTAACATGGGAGACTGTGACCCAGATGACTGTTTAGCAGAGGAGGTGGGTATGGCATAAATAGGAGTTGTAAATACAAGTGTTTTTCTGGGCTTGTCAAGGCTGTTTTCCTCATCTGTTTCTCTCCTCTTCTCCTGGAAGTCCCCAAAGCTGTGTGTTGCAAACTGTTTCCCTGTTATCTAAGCAAGTGTAGCCCATCAGCAGAAAATACCTAAATTTTGGAAATTACTGGGAAAGCACCACATAGAACATTTTGAAGCTGACAGTGACCTTGTATGAGCCAGTTCTGTAACTCGGGTGTGAGAGTGGCTGCACCAGGTCCCCTGTTCTCTGTGTGCACCTGGGGAAGGGTTTAGAGCCAGAACAAGCAGCTGGTGAAGCTTCTGCAGCTTTTACAGGCTTACAAGTTAGAAACTCCTTGGGAGGTATTTGCAGCAACCCTTGATGGTTTTTCTTCTGTGAATATTGATAGTTTTAATTAATCCTAACAAAATGTTTTGGTTGTGTCCCCCTGCATGTGGGAACTGGGTGTTGGGAATTCCTGAGGGTTTCAGTGTGAATTGTCAGCACTGGCTATTGCCCCTAACAAACCTGGAAATGTGAGGTTGGGAAGTTTTAGATGTTTATCCATGGGGGACTTTGTGGTGAAGGAGTGTGTTCAGGAAGCTGCTGACTGGGGAAGGAGTGATGGATACAAATTGAAAGAGGGGAAATTTAGGTTAGATATTAGGAAGAAGTTTTTCTCTGTGAGGGTGGTGGAACACTGGCACAAGTTGCCCGGGGGAGGTTGTGGATACCCCAACCCTGGAAGTGTCCAAGGCCAGGTTGGATGAGGCCTTGGGCAACCTGGTCTAGTGGGAGGTGTCGCTGCCCATGGCAGGGGTTTGGGACTGGATGATCTTTAAGGTTCATTCCAACTCCTTCACATTGTGTGATTCCAGGAAGATGTCCCATTCTGCTCACTGTGTCCCTGTCCAGGGGACAGGTCATTTCACCACCCTTGGGATTGTCACCTGCACCGTCCCACCTCGCCTTTTGGCTCCCTCCAGCTTCCCGTGTGTTCCAGCTCTTTCTCTGCTGTCGAGTGTTTTGGGCAGTGCAGTGATCTTGTCCCTGCTGTTGTGTCCCTGTGTTCAGGCAACCAGCAGGAATGTCTGTGTGTTCCTGGTGGCCACGTACACGGACGGGCAGCCCCCGAGAGCGCGGCCTGGTTCTGCAAGTGGCTGGAAGAGGCAGCCAATGATTTCCGTGTGGGGAAAACCTACCTGAAGGGGCTCAGATACGCCGTGTTTGGCCTGGGGAACTCGGTGTATGTGGATCATTACAACACAGTGAGTGTGTCCTCTGTTCTTCCTTTGTGGTTTCTGCTCTTCTGACGTCCTCAGCTGGAGGAGCTGCTTCAAAACTGAGCCATGCTGGTGGACTGGGTGGGAATTGCAGCTGTTTGGTGACTTGAGGGTCTGGGTTTAAGGGCACAAGTAAAACTACAGGATCACTGAGGTTGGAAAAGGCCTCCAAGATCACTGAGTCCAACCTGTGCCTGATCCCCACCTTGTCCCCCAGCCCAGAGCACTGAGAGCCACCTCCAGTCCTTTCTTGGACACCTCTAGGAGTGGGGATTTCACCACCTCCCTGGGCAGCCCCTGCCAGTGCCTGACCACCCCTTCCATGGAGAAATTCCTCCTGATGTCCCACCTGCCCCTCCCCTGGCACAGCTGAGGCCATTCCCTCTCCTCCTGTCCCTGTTCCCTGGGAGCAGAGCCTGACTCCCCCCGGTTCCCCCCTCCTTTGCAGAGCCAGAAGGTCCCCCCTGAGCCTCCTTTTCTCCAGGCTGAGCCCCCCCAGCTCTCTCAGCTGCTCCTGCTGCTCCAGCCTCTTCCCAGCTCCGTTCCCTTCCCTGGACACGCTCCCTCAATGTCTTTTTTATCATGAGGAGCCCAAATCTGCTCCCAGGACTGGAGGAGATGCCTCAGCAGTGGCAGCACAGGGGGACAGTCACTGCCCTGGTCCTGCTGCCACACCACTGCTTGTGCAAGCAATGCCATTGGCTTTTTGGCCACCTGGGCAGGGCAGCTTTGAAGCAATTGTACTGCCCTTTTAAAGGGAAGGGAGTCCCATATGCACTGGGAGATGTGGGAATACAGCCTGGGAAACCCTTGCTGAGTTCTTTTCCCAGCTTGGAAAGCTTTCTGTCAGCACCTGAGGGTACAGGACTGGAAACATTCTCACTTGCTGCCCTCTGGTTTGGAGGGCTTTGCTCAAACTTGGCTGCTTTTTGTGTTGTGGATTTGAGCTTTGCTCCCTGATGTGAACTGTGACGGTATCTTTGCCTGGTCATTGGTGTCACCTCACTCAGGAAAGTGGCATCTCCTGTCACCAGGTTGTTGTGTTTGCAGCTGGGGCCACGTGAAACGTGTTACCCGCTCTGAGCAGCAAGCATCACACAGAGCAGCTTGTTCACAGAGCAGCTTGTTCACAGAGCTCATCCCTTGCCACACCAGTGTGACAGCAGAGGGATTTCCCAACAATCTGAGGCAGTGTGGGCTGTTCAGTCTGCCCTGTGCCTGTGCTGAGGGACTCCACGAGCCCCTGCCCTGCAGTGCTGTGCAGCTCACTGGCTCTCCTTCCAGGCCTGATCCTTGCTTCTTTTTCTTTAGTTTCCTGCTTTCCTTTGGGTTTGTTTTATATCCCTGCCCCTTTGCTGCCGTCCCAGGTTGGCAGGAGGGTGGACAGGTGGCTGTGGGTGCTCGGTGCCAGCCGTGTGATGACGCGCGCCGAGGGCGACTGCAACGTGGCGCGGAGCAGGCACGGCAGCATCGAGGGCGACTTCGAGGCCTGGAAAGCCAAATTCCTCACTCGGCTCCAGGCCCTCTGCAGAGGGGAGAAGAAGCCCTGCAGTGGGAAGTGCAAGAAAGGGAAGTGCAAATCCCCAGGGAAGCAGAGCAAGGAGAGCTCGGATCATGAACACGGGGCGTCGGAGCACGAGAACACTGAGGTACAGTCACAGTCCCTGAGGCCTCATCTCTGCTTCTCTCCTTCCTCCTGCAGCCCACAGGGATGCTGTGGGAGCCTGATGCTTTGTTCTGGAGCAGAGGGGGATGAGGGATGAGAACCCATGGCTGATAATTAGTAGAATGAGCCAAAAAGAACTAGTGCTGGACCCAGCTGGATGGCATTTATGTGGTGAGGGAGTCTTGCTCCTGACTGGGGCAAGTTTTATGGTTGTGGCAGATGCTCCAGGGGGGCCAGTCTGAGTTCTGGGCTCTCGTCAGAGCCTTTGCTTTGTCCCATGGCCAGGTGAAGCATTTAGTTCCCTGAGAGCAGTTAACCTGCTCATCCAAGGTTTTTCCAAAGGCAGCTGGGGGAGTGTTACCTGGACAAGTCCTGTATTTCCTCTCTATGTGTCTGCCTGTAATAATTTGTGTCTCTTCTGGAGTGCTGATTGCAGATTTTGAATAAGAAATCCACTTTCCTGCTCTCCAGTGCAAGACCAGAGCTGCTGTGGCACTTTAACCTTCCCTCAAGCCATTTATTTTGGGTTGGGAATGTTTGCTGTGGCCGTGGGGAATTTAGTAGGACAGTAAGTGTCTCTTCTGGCTGAGTTTGGGAGTGCTGGCTGCTGCAGGACTAAGAGGAATAAATCTTGCTGTCACACCAGTGCTGTTGTGCTGTGCCTTGGATTTGTACAGAGAGAAACCTTTCTGCTCTGTGGAGAGTTTGCCTGGGAAAGCAAATCCCTCTTTCCCTGTTCATTCATCCAGGGGCACTTAGAGGGTTTAAAGGGGCTTCCATGTACATCCTTCGGGTTATCAGTAGGATATTTATTGTTTTCAGAGATCTTTACTAATAAGGAGAGTTATTTCACTTAGTTATGTTTAACAATCAGATAAATTCTTAATTGTTTTTCTCTAATCTCTCCCACAGGCAGAGGAATTGTTTGAAACCAGTAGTGAGGAGGAAGCTGATGCTGAGGAAGCTGGAGGCACAAATGCTGTCATTGATGTAGAAGATCTCGGCAATATCATGGGTCACATGAAGAAAGCAAAGGTACTGCTGTTCCTGTGGGTGTGGAATGGTCAGCTCTTTGCCACTGATCACTTGGATTGTTTAAAATATTATTGCCTGGATTTGAATCTGTGGGGTTTGGTTGTGGGAGAGTAAAATTTGAGCTCTTGGAGAGCCTGTCCCAAAAAGTAACATACTTTGGAGGTGTGTTGGATGGAGGTACAGACCAACTGTGACTTGTCCACCAAGCAGATGCTGCAGTGGGAATGTGTTGTTTTCAGTCTGAGGGAGGATTTACATCACCCTCTGTCTGTAATTGCACCTTCCTTACCTTGGGAGCCCCTGGAGTGTGGGCTTCCCACTGCTCTTTCCCAAGGTATGAGGCCCTGGCACAGGTTGCCCAGAGAAGCTGTGGCTGCCCCAGCCCTGGAAGTGTCCAAGGCCAGGTTGGAGCAAGCTGGGCTAGTGGAAGGTGTCCCTGCCCATTGCAGGGGGTGGAATGAGATGGTCCTTAAGGTCCCTTCCAACCCCAACTGTTCTGTGGTTCTGTGAACACAGAACCATCTCCTCAGTGGTCTGAGCTGAGGTGGCAGCGCTGGGACACCCCAAACCTCACCCCAAACAGGAGGCTGTGTCCTGGGAGGGGACAGTGTTACAGGGAGGGCATTGGCATCTCTGTTCCTCACCTTAGGCGGGGGGGAAGGAGTAAATAAAGCAATTCCTGCTGTTTGTAACAAACTCTGTGAGGAGAGCAGCCCCACTGACGTGGGGGCAAGGCAGGCTCTTGGGAGGGGACCCCGTCCCTGAGTTTGTGTGGACCCTGCAGCCGGTGAGGGGAGGGTGGCCGACCCTCTTGGCTTTGATGTGGAGGGAGAAAGGATCAGTGTTTTCCCGGTGGAACTGCGGTCCTTTCCCCTCTCCCTCCTTCACTCACCACTAGAGGTCAGCGGCCGACAGCGAACTGCTCAGTCCTGGGTCCAGGAAAGGGAGGTGGGGACATCCAGCACTTCTATGGGGAATTAGGCTTTTTACTGACTGACAAAATGTGGCGACGCCGTGCTGGAGGAGTGGAGTAACGCGGGAAAACCACAGGTCACAGCCCAGTTTGTGAGCAAAAAGTGAGCACAGCAATAAAACACTTCCTGCCCTTCGCCTCTCCAGCTCGTTGTTCTGGTGGTGAGCAGGGCTGAAGTCGCTGTGCTGTGGGTTTATACACAGGCAGTGGAAATTAACTGCTCTCTGGGCCTTTGTTTCAAGATCCAAACCACTTTCTCTCCTCAGCTTTCTTGCTACTCTGCTCGAGCAGTGAGAGGCCTGTGTGTTGTAGTGCTTGCAGTTCTGTAGTGACTTGTGTGTTTGTGTTGATCAGGTTCCTGTGGCTGTCCCAAGTGCCTGTCCCTGATCAGAGGGGCAGCTGCTGTCTGAACACAGACACTCCCCTCAGGTTGTGAGCTGCAGTTTCTGACCCTTGGAGCCTTTTCCTTGGAGATGGCAGAGATGTTCTGCTGGGACAGGTGAAGGCTGCCCTCTTGCAAATGGGTAAATCATGAGGGTGCAAGTGTAGGTGTGGGACTGCAAGTTCACTCTCAGCGTGCCTGGAAGTGTTCTGGCCCTCTGGATGTGAGCTGTTGTCAGCTGATGGATAGGAGGCCCTAAAACTTGGACCAAAATGAATCTAACATTTCTTTTACACTGAGGTAACCTTCTGTCCTGCAGTAAATCCTTACCCACACAGGGAGCTGCTCTGGAGGTTTGTACCTGAACTGTTCACAGACAAGTTTGAGAGAAACTTGTGTATCTTCAGGGTTTATATCACAAGGCAGTTCTTCATCCTTAGAGTTACTTGGATTTGGAACGTGCAGAAAAGTTTCCAGCACGGGGTTTGTGGCTGTCAGGGTTGTGTGGTCACCCCTCTGCATGTGGGGGATGGAACAGCAGGTCCTGCCTCGTGCAATGTAGACAACTGGAAATGTTTTAAGGCCCAGCTTTCATCTCTTCTGTGTTGCCTCTTGTGTCATTCTCTAGCACAGATGGTCATAATTCCGTGTTGTCCTGCCTTTTGTGGGCTGGCAGTGAGGCTGTGGAGGTGAGAGACTCTAATAAATGCCCACTCATGTCTCTGCAGGTCATCTTAATTTAATTTTGCATCCATCTCTTGTTGCTTGACTCAATGGAAATCAAGGTTGAGTTTTGGTTTACAGCTTTTTTTTTCTCCCACGTGCTGCAGGCTCCTTGCATTTTGTAAAGTATTGGCAGAGGGCTTGGAGCAGGCACTGGATCCTTGCAGTCATTTGGATCAGGCAGGTGGGTTCAGGGGAATGCCAAAACCTCTCCTCCTGGTTGAGCTGCAGCTCTTCCATACCCTCCCTTGGAGAAGAGGTGGAGTTTTAAAGAGCTGCTGAGGGTGGAGTTCCACAGTTCAGGGTGATGGGACCTCCTCCTGAGCACAGAAATTGCCCCAAGCTCGGGTGTATATTGGTAATATATTCAAATCTGTTAAATGCCAGCTGATGGAGCAGTAAATCCCACCCTGAGTGCACCAAATCCTGTGATATGTGGTGATGGTTCTTGATGGATTTAAGAACTGGGTAGACTTTTGAGTTTTACAGTTGGGCCAGGCTTTCCCTGTCCTCCAGAGCTGCTCCCCTGGAATGTATTTATCAGATGAAAGTGAACTCTAATGGGTGTGTTTGTGGCCTGTAAGGTGTTATTAATCACAGGGACACCAGTTCTTGCTGCAGATTATCTCCCCCAGCTTGGGAGATTGATCTGTCTTCCTGCTTATCACAGTCAAGACTCATTCCCAGGGAATGGAATGACTTTATTAACCTTCACATTTACAAACTTCAGGCATGAGTAACAGCAATAATAATATCCTAATTCCCTCTTTGTGGTGGGGTGGGAAGTAATCAAATGGGCATATTTTGTTGACACAGTTTTGAGATTAATGCTGTTGTTTTCTAAAACAGAAAATATAATGAAGGTGACAGTCCCATTTGCAGTGTAGATAGAGGAGGGGGGTGTGTTTAAGAGAGCAGGACTGAGTTTACAGGAGCCAAAATCTCCCCCAGAGTGTGTTCAAGGAGTTTCTGTTGCTTCAGGAGAGCTTTGCTGATCCCCTTTGGCTCCGTTCCCTAAAAAATCAGCCTTGTGTGACTGGAAATCCCACTCTTCCAATGCTCCCTGAGAGCCCTTGGAGTCTTTGGAAGGCCAAATCCTGGGGAAAGGGACTCCTGCTGAGGCTGCTGGGGTTTGGTTGGAAGGGGACAGTGGGCAGGAGGGGATTTAGGGGACAAGGTTTACAGACCAGCTTTGTGCTGCAGGTAGAAATTTTTTTTAGGGTGTGAAAGAATCCTTAGCCATATTTGAACCAAAGTGAGCAAAGTTTGGGTGCTTAACTCTCAGTTCAAACTGATGAGGACATTTAGAGCCTCTCCAAAATCCTTTAATGGGTGAAAGATTCCTCTCTGAGAAGTGAGCCCTGCTCTGCACCAGCTCAGTCTCTAGATTTTGACCTGTGCTACTCTGCCTCAGAATTCAGTTTACATTTTAAAATAAGCCTTTGTAAAACAGAATTTAACTTCTTAGGGACCACTTCCAGCGTGAAATCTGGATTTGTCACAGGGACACTTCACCCTTCTCCTTTTCCTCTGTTCAAATCTTTATTCTCTGGCTGTTGGAAAGAATTGTCATTCCTAAACAACATTACAAGAGAACTTGAGGTTTCCTTTTTCTGAGTAAGGCTTGTGAGTGCCCAAGGGAAAAAAAAAAGGAAAAAAAAGCCCTAAAAAAATAACTTTAAAGGTAACCTCTGTCTGGATGTTCTGACGTGGTGTGATAGTGGCTTCCTTTGCAAAGGGCTTTGAGATCTCTGAATGAAAGCTTTTTGCCCTGAGGGCAGATCCCATATCCTGTGTTGTTCTTTAGTGTAAATTCATCAGTAATTGGTTGGTGAAGCAGAGCTGAGAGATGTAAAAAACTCTGGCAGATTGAAGTGCCCCTGAGTGTTTGGCTTCCTCTTTATCTGCAGCCTTTTCTTGACCACGTGCACTGTTGGAGTGACCAGCAGTGGCCCTGCAGCCCCCCAGCCCCTCTGCTCAGCATTTCCCACCAGCTTTGTGCTCCATTTCTCAGGTATCTTTCTTTCCTGGGTGTTTTTTTTAAGGTTCTTGCCAGTCCAGTGACGCAGTTGAGCAGAATTCCACAACTCCATGCAGCTCTGGAGCCAGGCTGGGAGAGCTGGGGGGGTTCACCTGGAGAAGAGGAGGCTCCAGGGAGACCTGAGAGTGCCTAAAGGGGCTCCAGGAGAGCTGGAGAGGGACTTGGGACAAGGGATGGAGGGACAGGACAAGGAGGAATGGCTTCAAACTGGTTTAGGTGGGATATTGGGAAGGAATTCCTCCCTGGGAGGGTGGGCAGGCCCTGGCACAGGTTGCCCAGAGAAGCTGTGTCTGCCCCAGCCCTGGAAGTGTCCAAGGCCAGGTTGGACGGGCCTTGGAGCAAGCTGGGCTAGTGGAAGGTGTCCCTGCCCATGGCAGGGGGTGGAACAAGATGAGCTTTGGGTTCCCTTGCAGCCCAAACCATTCCATGATTCCATGGTGCTCTGACCACCTGAAAACTTGGTGTTGAAGTGAAAAGCTCTTTTAGTCCCAAACTGTCAGGAAAAGAAATGATGGAGTAGAGAAGTCTTTTACAGAGCCATTTTAAGGAAAATCTTCAAAATATGGTAAGCCTGTGTGTGCTGCCTGCTTGGAGTGTGAGAGAGCAGAAGAGACTGGAATGGAAAATCTTACTGGTTTTAAGTTGGGCATTTTGGGCCTCTTGTTAAATCCCATTACCCGGGTCTCAGTTGTGATTTTTGTAGCAGAGAAGAAAGGAATAAAATGTGAATATATGGCTCAATTTTCAAGTCTAAGCAGTCCCTTTTGGGTGGACACAGACACATATTTAGTTTTGACTCTTTGGGTTCCTTTGAAAATCAATCTTCTTTATGGTGTGTCCGAGGAAGTTTCCCAAATCAAACAAACAGTGACAGGCTGTGG